ACACGCCGGGCGCCGACGCGGAGGAGTTCTGCCCCGTCGAGTGAGAGTAGGGGATCGTGAAGTAAAGGTGATGTAAGCATTCGCTCGTCGCCGACTCATGATGGCTTCCAGAATGTGGCTGGCGCTTCTGGCTCCGCTCGCGGCCGCGGCGACCTTCGACCCCTGGCCTTCGAAGGTCATCTCGTGGTGGTACGGCGCGGACAACAACTGGCCGCTGCTCGTCAAGGAGATCAACCAGACCGACCGGCTGCCCCTCGTCACGAGCGTCATGACCTACTGCGGCTACGACGTCGCCGACGACGGCTCCTTCGTCGTGCCGTCGCCGCTCTCCGACGCGTGCCAGGAGTTCCTGCCCGCGCTCGGCGCGCTCGGCGTGCGGCGCGAGTTCGTGATCAACGCGGGCAACTGCAGCATCGACTCGTACCGCGAGTTCTGGAACAGGTCCATCGCGGCGACGATGCTCGAGGAGTCGCTGAAGTACAACGTGTCCGGCTGGAACATCGACATGGAGCCCCAGGGCGACAGCTGCAAGGGCGGGGCCACGGGCGACGCCGCGGACGCGTTTCTCTTCGCCTCGTGGCTCAACGAGACTCGCGCGGTGCTGAACCCGCACGGCGTCCGCGTGACCGTCGCCGTCGCCAACTGGTCGCCGGTCCTGTCCCAGTACAAGGTCCTCGCCGCCGCGGCGGACCGCATCCAAAACATGGGCCTCTACAACATGAACGACATGCCCGACTGGGAGTACGTCATGAACGAGTTCCTCTCCGGCGCGCCGCGCGAGAAGCTCGCGCCCGGCCTCGGGTGCTGGACCGACGGCAAGACGGACTGGTGGGAGACGCAGGCGGGCGCCGAGGCCAAGGTGAACAAGAGCATCGCCGAAGGTCTCAGTGAGCTCGCATTGTTCCGCCTCCTGCCGTCGCCGACGTCGACCGCGGACGACTGGCCCCTCGCGTTCTGGTGGGACGCGCTCCGCCCGTTCCTGGCCTAGGCGCCAGGTTACATCTCATGCGTCGTCGTGCGCGCCCGGGGGCGGGAGGCGGATGGTCGTCGTCGCGCGCGCGCCGAGGACGTGGACGGCGAGCGTGTCCTTCCAGACGGCGTCCGTCACGTCCGGGCAGCAGTGCCAGGCGCAGGAGAAGTAGGCCCGCGGCGCGCCGAAGCACGTGCCGAGGCGCCGGGACAGGTACTTCTTCGGCTGCGCGACGGCGACGGCCTCGACGCGCGCGAAGACGTCGTCGAGGAGCGCCGGCGAGGCCAGCGCGCGCGCCGCGAAGCCCTCGAGCGCGGCGGCCCGGTCGCCGGCGGCGCCCAGGACGCGCGCGTAGACGTCGGGCTCGAACTCGGCGAGGTTCAGCAGCGACCAGGCGAGCTTCATGCGCCGCGACCGGCCCGGGACCGACATGCGCCACTGGACGGACACGCGCTCCGCCCACCGCGGCGACGACGGCACGACCTCGACGCCGTGGGCGAAGCCGGACCCGTCGGGCTCCCGGGACGCGTCGAAGACGATGAGATCGCCGTGGCGGAGCGTGACGAGGCGGCCGACGGTGTCCGCGGAGGGCCGCGCGCTCGTCTGCGTGACCCAAAAGTCGCAGTCCGCCCGCAGCGACGCGAGCACGACCATGCCGTAGTGCGGGTGGTCGCGGTGGCGGTGGAACGACGCGTGGGAGCGGCCCGTGGCCGGGTAGCGGAGCACGCGGACGTCGCCCTCGGGCGCCGCCGACTCGCCGTCGCACGCGCCGAGCGTCGCCGCGGGGACGCGCGCGCCGTCGCGGCGGGCGACGGCCGCGCAGGCGCGGAGCGCGGGCCCCGCGACGGCCCGGAACCAGCGGGCCGCGTCGGCGTCGGTCAGGATCGTCTTCTTCTCGTTGACCTTGAGCGAGTTGCCGTCGGCGACGATCTGGTAGTTGTCCTTGGCGCCGGGGGCCTTCTCCGCCGCGCCGCACATCGACGCGAAGCCGGGGCTCCCGAGCACGCCCTTGCGGCCGAAGCGGCCGTCGGCGACGGGCGCCTCGGAGACCCGGCCGACGCGGATCTGCGCCGCGCAGGCCTCGCAGAACGCGAGGTCGCCCGCGACGTCCGACGCGAACCGCGGGCCCCGGCGATACGCGCCGCGGCAGTCGTCGCCCGCGCAGCGGAAGGCCCGCGACGCGTCTCGCACGAGCCGCTCGCAGAGGCGCTCGAGCCTGTCGCCGCCAACGTCGCGAAAGACGACGGCGGGCCGCGGCGCGGTCTGGATGACCTCGCAGCGCGAGAAGTCGAGCGGCGTCGATGGGAGCGGCTCGACGGCCGCGGAGCGCGCGGCCTTCTTCCGCGCCGGCGCGTCGTGTTCGTCGTCCGAGCTCAGCGTCAGGTCGATGGTCGATGGGGCGATCGCGGGCGCCAACGCGGGGGGCGCGGCGGCCGTCAGGTCGATGGTCGATGGCGAAGGAGGCGTTGTGGGCGGCATGGTCGTCGATTCGGTGGGCGGCGCCGTCGCAGGCTGCGACACGGCCGGCGGCGGCGCGGACGACGGCACGGCGGCCGGTTGTCGCGCCAGACGCGCCGCATGAAGCTCCGCGAGCAAGGCATTGTCCATCGGACCCAAAATGCCAGTCCGCTCGCCAAACAAAGACCGTGACCAGACTCGTACACGTCCGCACTTATCACCCCGACGTCTTCCACGTGTAGCCCCCCGGCGGCGCGGCGGGCTTGGGCGGCGCGTCGGCCGCCGGCGGCGCGTCGTCCGCGAGGGCGACGTCGGGGGCTCGGGCGACGTCGGGCGCCCAGTGCTGCGCGGCCGGCGCGAGGGGCTCCTCCACGAGCTTCCCGCCATTCGCGATGCGCGCGCGGATGTTGCGGACGTTCGTGTCGATCTGCGGGTGGCTCGCCGGCAGGAGCAGCTCCTGGGCGCGGAGGTAGTAGGCGAGCGCGTCCTCGAGGTCGCCCTTGCGCTCGAGGAAGAAGCCGAAGTTGTTCATGACCTCCGCGGACTCGGGCTCGAGCGCGACGGCGCGGTCGAAGAAGTCGCGCGCGCGGCCGTGGTCGCCGTGGTCCGCGAGGAGGGACGCGGCGTTGGAGAGGAGCTCGAAGGACTCGGGCTCCGCGACGAGGCCCGCCTCGAAGGCCTCGAACGCGCCACCGTCGTCGCCGAGCGCGCGCCGCGAGAGCCCCAGGATGTTGTACGTCGCGCCCTCCTTGACGGACTTGTGCGGCTCGCCGGCGTCGGTGACTTGGCGGCTCAGGTCCAGCGCGAGGAGCGCGTTCGTCTCGACGGCCGCGTGGTCGCCGACCTCGAACGCCACGGACCTGTGTGGAGATCAAACAGTGAGCTGGGTTCTCCCGACCAAACTTCGGAACTCTCGAGCTCGGTCAAGTCGAAGTCGATTCGGCTGATTTTTGGACGAATCGATTGAGTTCTTGACGCACAGCAGAAAAGCTCGCGTCAAAGCTGTCGCGTACGATCACATTGAAGTCGGGTTGAAGATGTGACTTCGGCGCGGCCGCGGACGCGCGCGCCCAGTGCGTCAGGGGCAGCCGCGCGTCGCCCTTCTCCAGATGCTGCGCCGCGAGCTGGAGCAGGCCGCCCCGCAAATCGTCGAGGCCCGGCCCCGACGTCTTGTCGAGCGTGCGCATGAGGAGCCAGAACTCCTGGCCGAGGTACGTCTCGACGCGCGGGTCCTCGCCCCGCTCCTTCCCGAGGCCGTCGCTAAAGTCCTGGATCGCGCTCATCTTGCGGCCCTCGAGGTGGTGGACGAGGCCCCGGTTGAAGAGCGCGCTCGGGAAGTCGCGGTGCGCGCCGAGCGCGCCGTCGAGGAGGACCGCGGCGCGCGGCAGGTCCTGGAGCCGCCTCGACTCGTCGTCGTCGGAATTCAAAAGCACGAGCGCGAGGTTGTTCAGCACCTTGAGCGACGACGGGCACACGTCCAGGCTCGCCTCGAAGAGGGCGCGCTCGCTGCGCCAGGCCAGGTTCCGCGACGACGACCGCGCGCACGCGCCCAGCAGCACCGCGGCCAGGGCCGCGCGCTGCGCGGCCGCGACGGCGCGCCGCCCGGGCACGACGGCCTCTGCCAATGACCGCCAGCCCGCCGCCGCGTCCCCCGGCCCGCGCTTCGCGCCGTCGACGAGGACCGCGCGCGCGGCGGCCGCGAAGGCGAGGCAGAAGCCCGCGGACGGGAGGTAAAGCAAGCGCTCGCCGAGCATGGTCCCCACGGGCAGCAGCAGGTGCCCCGCGGGCAGGAAGGGCACGTAGCCCAGGGCGCCGGCGAGCAGGATGGCCCGCGACCGGCGGCGCACGCCCAAAACGGCCAGCGCGGCGAGGCCCGCGTAGAGGCCCGCCGCGAGCAAATTCCGGGCGTCGCCGAACGCCTCGACGTGGCCGACGCAGGGGAAGCCGTAGTCGTAGCAGAGCCAGAGCGGCGCGACGAGCTTGAGGGCGTAGCGGCCGTGGAGGTAGAGGTAGCTGAGCAGCGTGGCCTTCAAATCGCCGCGGAGGTTCGCGGCGACGGAGTTCTCCAGCACCGACCACTCGTAGAGGAGCGCTTCCCCGTGGCGCAGCGCGTGGAGCCAGAGCAGCCCCAGCACCGCGAAAACGCTCGCCCCGAGCCGCGCCAGAACGCCGACGTCCCGCAGGCGCTGGCCGCAGCGCCGCAGGTCCGGCGCGGGCGACAGGCCCGGCCGGCCGCACAACGCGTCCACAAATTCCAGGACCTGGGCAGCAAAAGGGTGATTCAACGTCGCTTCAACGTGAGTGTTCCGCGGGCGCGCGTTCCGGAAAAAGCATCCACGCTTCGAGACCGTTCCGAGAGATGATCGCTCGTCCAAAAATCAGCCGAAACGAGTGGAAAACGACCGAGATATGAGCCTTTGAATTTGGGAATTTCGCACCCTTTTGCTGCCCTGTCGAGCGCGAAGAACAGCGGGAACGCGACGATGCCCACCTCCTTGGCCAGCGCCGCGAGGACGCCCAAGGCGAAGGCGACGACCACGTAGAAAAAGCCGAATTTGCCCCAGCGCGCGCCGTACGCGCGCACGGCGCCGAGGCAGAGGCAGCCCCCTAAAACGTCCGCGCGGCCGACGATCGACGCGACGGCCTCGCTGTGGATCGGGTGCGCGACGAAGGCCACGGCCGCCAGGAGCGCGCCGAGCTCGTCCCGCAGCGCCTGGCGCGCGACGCCGAGGAAGAAGACGCAGCTCAGCGCGTGGACGACGACGTTCGCCGCGTGGAACCCGAACGGCCGGAAGCCGTGGACCGCGTGGTTCCAGCGGAAGGTCAGCGTCGCGAGGGGCCGCCAGGACTTGTGGCTGTCCACGGCGCTCATGGGCTGGCCCCAGTAGTCGTGGATCCACAGGTTACCGTAGGGCGCGTTGGAAGCGTCGACGTCCTTGTTGTAGGTCACGGCGGCGCGGTCGTCCCAGACGACCCCGTTCCCGACGCAGTTCGAGTGCAGCGCGAGCGCCAGGCCGAAGACGGTCAGCGACGGGAACCGCTTCGCCAAGTTCATGGTCGTTGCGACGGCGTCGTCGCCGGCTTTGACGGGCTTCATTGCGCGAGGCGAGGCTGCCCGGTCCGCTGCTGATGCGGCTTGACGTCGGTGTTTCCTCAACGTTACCCGGCACGCGCTCACGAGCCTCCCAGGGGGCCTGCTCGGCCCCGTCATACCGCCACCTTCGAGGTCTCACCGTCGCCGCCATCCTCGCTTCGTCGCACGACTGCACAACCATGCGCACCGTCAGTCTCGCCGCGATCTTCTGCACCGCTGCCGCCTTCGTCGCGCCGCGCCGCGCGCTGAGCGCACCGGCGCGCAGCGTCGCGCGCCAGGCGCTGCCGGAGACGTCGCTGCTCCTCGCGGACCTGCCGACGCTCGTCGCACCCAAGGATTCGGAGCTCGCGATCGTCTTCGCGAACCCGTTCTTCATCGGCTTCTTCCTCTTCTCCATCACCGCCGGGCTCCCCGGCATTACCTGGCTCCGCCTCAGCTCCGTCGGCGACGACGACGCGCCCTTCGACCTGAGCTCGGTCGTGCCGACGCTGCCGGGCCTGCCGGAGCTG